CCATTTTTTCTGGAGTATGACACAAATGGTGAACATGATACTGCCAAATCAATCAAGAACCAGGATACGGCTTGGATACGCTGAAACTTTGTAAATCGTCCTCTTTTCAATTGTAAACTTTATTCCAGTGTAATAAAGGTATACCTACATGTACCATGAAAAATTGTATCGCATCACTTTGGAAATTGACGCTAAATACATGTACTAAATACTAAACAAGCGCACATATCGTATTCATTTACAGCATTGGATTTTAAAACAATGACTCGTGGAATCACAAAGAAACTGTTAAGTACGTATTTCACACATTACCAAGGGTCGCTGTAGAGACCCCTAATTATAAGCAGTCCGCGGCTCTCCCCGGCGTTCTGCGGTACACCGCGGTAATGACCGCGGTGCACCGCCCGTTTGATTTCCTACTCTTCCCTTATGCGGATTATGTAGTTTGCAATTTTTTGAAAACTCAAAGCAATAAAACAGTGTCAGAAATAATATTTAAAAAAAAAAGGGTGCAGACACATTTGAAAACGTATAGCAGTTTCAGTAGTTGCTGTATGCAAATGTATGGGCTATAGAACATGTTTTCAGATGAGAACTACACATCCAGTTAGAACCCATTCTCTCAGATAAAAATAACATTGCTTTTTGCATCCACCCTAAAAAAAAAACAGTTTTTTACGTGAATGCTTATCTCTGGCAATTAGATTTGAACTTTACGTTCTTCAGATATTGCATGAAATAAATAAATAGCAATATGAACATAATAGTTTATTTTTATTTTAACATTGAAATGGATTGAGATTAAACAGTAAATTAGGAAGAATATGCGCACAAAACTACAGAAAAAGTGAAACTGTATTGATCTACATATTGAAAAAACCATATACTACTATATGGATACAGAAAAACAATTCTGGTAGATTAATGTCAGTTTATGCTAATGTGCCAAGGTTGAGTACAAATTTCTTCTATTTCTAGCCTGTGCACTTCCTATAAATTCTTATTTTAATGATTCAGTATATAATTAATTTTTGTTTATCTGCACTTATATTGCAGATGAGTTTCTAATAGTAGAGCAATAGCTATATTTCTTGTGTCCCAGGTGGAATGGTTTAGAAAACCTAGTATTTGTTGTGTTGTAACAGTTGCACTAACTCGTTTTTACTAGGGAATGATTTGTTCATCAAGCAACCATTGACTCCGGAAAACCTTAGTAGACTGGTTGATTTGACAAAGTTTCAAACCCTAGTGCCAAGATTTACAGCGGCCGTGCCCCCATGCTGGACTGAAGTACAACAAGAACAGCAACAGAGAAGACATCCGCAGCATTTACATCGCTTACATCATGGAGATGCCACGCAACATACTAGGACATGGAGGTTACAACCTGATAGGTATTAAATTTCAATAACAATACTGGTGTGCTTCTGTCCATTTGTGCATCTGTCCTTCTGTTCATTGTTTATGATCTGATCTGATCTGATCATCAGAACCAGCCATCCAATGTTGATAAAATTTAATATTACTCATGATCTATCAAATCAGTTTTTGGTACAAAACTTTGCATATTAAATAGCTTAATTTGCATACATTATATTATCTATTGTACCTTACTTTTATTTTCACTCGAGTCCAAGTCAGGAATGATCATTTGTTCCATATGTATTAGTGGAAATGAGGTAGGCCATTAAAGTCATGAAAAAAATTGGTTGAAAAATTTGAGTATTATCTATGTTTTTAACCCAATTTGTGTTTTTATCTCCAAGCCTGAGTTGGAAGGAACACCTGTTTGAAATAGTGCTACCCAAGCCTTGTAGCGTAGGCCATGTAGATGTAAAGTTTACCCTACACAACTTGTGTGATTTCATCCCCAAAGTACAAGTAACTCTCCTAAAGCAAAATTCCTCAAATATTGGGCGTTCAAATCATAATGGTGGAATCAAGGAAGATGGTATGAAAAAGAAAAGCTCTAAAAGTACATCTAAGAACAAAAAAGGTAAGATGTGTAATAATTTCATTGGATATAAAAACAAATTGCTTGCAATACTTGGGGAGAATGCTGTGTTTGGTATTGGAAAAGTGAATGATATAATCAGATCAGAATATACCCTGTGTTGCAAAGACATAAATGTTATTCTGAGGTTGGGTTTGATTTACTTTAATCAAATTCATTTTTAATTCAGTTTAAATTAATTTTCATTTAAGTGCTTTACTGTGCATAAAACAATCCAAATTGTTCAGGTATGCACAAATTTTGTGAAACGAGTGACAATTGGGAGAATTGAGCAGTCTAGTACCATATTTGCCCTATTAGTAGCGCATGACCTAATTAATAGAGATGTCTCATGGCTATAATAGGTCATATTTTTAGCTCCGCTGATGACTTTGTCGAGCGGAGCTTATCATATGAGTGATTGTCCGTCGTCATCCGTGTCAATGTTTTACTTTTTCGACTTCTTCTTGAAAACTACAAGCCTGAATGCTTTGATACTTGGTGTTAATGTACCTGGGGTAGACCTCACTTAGATTTGTTAATTTCATGATATCTTCAATTCTCTAATTTTGGTGAATATTTTTGTTATTTTTGGTAAAAAGTGATATTTTCAACTTCTTGTTAAAAACCGCAAGTCTTATTGCTTTGATATTACATATGGGTACTACATGTGGACCTCTCTCAGATTTGTTCATTTCGTGATGATATCTTCCATTCTCTAATTTTGGTGAATATTTTTGTCATTTTTGGTAAAAAGTGATATTTTCGACTTCTTGTTAAAAACTGCAAGTCCAATTGCTTTGATATTACATTTATAGATACTACATGTGAACCTCTCTCAGATTTGTTCCTTTCATGATGATATCTTCAATTCTGTAATTGATGAATAGTTTTGTAATTTTTGGTGAAAAGTGATATTTTTGAATTCTTAAAATGAAATGTGCAATGCTAACAGCGGAGCTAACTCAGCCGACAGGCTGCTCGTTAATAATACAGAATACCATACATGCACTTCTATTGAAGATACACTTTTAATAAAACAAATATAGTAATGTAATCAAATAAAAAAAAATGTCAGTAAATAAATTATTTAATTTAATTTTTCTCATAGAAAAAATCCCAATGAATATAAGTGAGACAACAGACCAGTCTACGGTTAAACCCTTAGATGACCACTTTGATGTTAATATGGATCAGCTGGGACCTAAAGAGACTAAGGAACAAAATATTGATGTTGTTGGGAATTCTGAAGCTCCCCCAGAGTTCTGCCCAACTGCTGGTCAAAGTAGTGACAATGATAGTGAAATGAAATCTACGTTTTTAGAGAAGCACAAACTAGACGTGATATGTGGTCCTATTGACATCAATTCATCTATGGATATGAGTGGTAGAGGTGGTCTCATTACGATGACGAGTCAGGATCTACTGAAGATGAAAAGTAGATCATTCCTACTTCACATTCAAGCTGTAGAGTCACCCGAGAATGAAGCTAATAGTAGGAAGAAAATGCAGTCAACAACCGGCAAGGGTAAATAATTGTCTACATTTACTTTTTGTTGTTGCATTGGAAACACTGTATACAACTGTCTTCATGGTAATAATGTCATTACTGTGATGGCTGCTCCAATTCTGATTATAGAAAACAGAATATTGACTCCAGAAATGTATTTTCCACCAAATGTACATATACACATGTATATCTGACTCGACTTGGAGTCTCATTTTTGTTCAGAAAACGTGCACAAAATAGAAGTCCTCAAAGTTGCAAAGTGTTTGCATTTACAATGGAATGTTATGATTGCGACATAATTATTAACTCTGTAACATAAAACTGATGCACAGATCTTAAAATAGGGTTCAAGATTAATCACTTGACAGTGAAATAAGGGTGACTAAGTCACTGATTATTTACTTGTATGATTTTCACTCTATACAACAGGAGCCTCAATTACCTGCACTATGAATGCATATGGACAGCCACTGAGTGCCACAGAGAGACTCGTTGCAGGAGCTACCAATAAGGAAATTGACAGCTATCATGGCTGTGACTGGATACAAGAATTGTCTGTCACCATCAGGAGAACTAAGAAAACATCATTGATTAGAGACAGGTATTGAAATGCAATCAAGTAAAATCCTTGTACAACTCCACGACTTGTCGGTTTATCGTGATTGATTACATATTGGGATGTTCAAATGAATTCTCCTCAATGGCAGTGAAAATAAAAAAGATCTAGAAATTTGTCGTGTGAAATTTTGACAAGTCTAATTCCATAACTCAGCAAAATATTGTTATCTTTCCTGGGGCTTCTCTAGTTTTTCACAAAACACAGTTGGTAAATCTGTAAACTGTCATGAATATCATTTTATGAGTTTGTTATAATTGTAATAGCCGTACGAATGAACAAAAGTTGTTATATTTTATAGAACACAAAGAGTTAAAATGCTTGAGTACAACGCCTTTCACGAGAGACTGATCCAGGCTGTTTGTGGAGAAGATGATTATTTTGATAGAAGTGTTAGTTTTGAACATTATCAAAGTATGGCGCTAGACATACTGTGTTGGGTAGCAGGTGTGCAAATCAATGAACCAATCATGTAAGTACATTTAGTAGTTTAAAATATTCATGATGGACATACATCACGTATTCTGTGGCTGAAATAGCGCGTCTCCCATGTTCATAATCATATGCATCTATCTGACATTCTGGCATTAGGAATTAAGGGACAACCAGAACTTAGTAAATAAATATATGAATTTCGTGATGCTGTTTCATGCTACTTTGAAAAAAATCATCAGGTTTTTAATTTTGTTTGTTTGTGAAAGAACAAAATTATTCTAGTATTTAATTTAATGTATTGAAGCTCACATTGAAATAAAAGAAAGTAAAAGCCAGTGAATAATTAAGCATTTTCAAATGTTAAATTTGGGAATGCTTGTCATGGTAAAATGTTTACAACCTTGTGTTTATTAGTTTTGAATAATGTCTTTACCATTATGTAATTCCTGATTCCCAAATCGATAGTGTTTTCGTGTTTATCGTTTGTGCGCTTGCAATATAGTGTATGCCTGGGAGGTAGGATGGATTCCAAACGTGTAAAGTCACAGAACACTGCTTGTGGGTGTGTTTTCAACTTGCAGTATAAACCTCAAATAGAAGTGCCATTATTTTTAAGTAATTTGTAATTAGCCCCTGAAAATTTACCCACTATTTTGCCTAAACAAGAAATACAACATGCAAATTTTCTTGGGCATAGTGGAGTACTTTCATATTTTTGTCACTCATATTTACTCAGCAAAACACACATGTACCTTGTTTTTTTTCAGTTCATTTTTCCTACTAAAACAATCTTTGTCAACTGCAAATCTACATTCCACAGTTCTTTTAGCTGTTCCTTTTTGTACCTCCCCACCCACAGTCACTCTGTGATCTTGTAAAAACTTTTGAAATATGGCAATGTTGTTTTCTGGGGTTTCCTGTCTGACCTATACTGTCCTACCCTTGCCTATTGTTAGGTAGGTTACTCATGCTCACATCGCCAAAAATTTGAGAATCTGGAATTGTGAAGTGATTATTTTTCTTTTCCCTCCCCACAGCATTGGATCAGACAACTTAGTGTTCTGTGTACAAAAGCAACTGTTACCACTTACCAGGGCATGCATCTTAGAAGCTGACAGAAGTGTTGCTCATGAGTTCAGTCAGCTTGTGGCACTCTGTACTGGGTAAGTTAGCAATCATTCGTTATTAGTCTCCGTCCGTCCATGCGTCCGTCGGGAGTCATATCTCAGAATCCCTTGGACCGATTCCATTCATTCTTTGCTTGTGCCTAGTACTATATGTGGCACATATGCACATGCAGTGGTTTAGCGATTCGATTCAAAATGACCGACTGGCAGCCATCTTGCTTTTTGAAAATGTTGTATTTTGGACATGCTTTGTCAGTTTTCATTCAAACTTGGTACATAGATTATACATGTCAGGATACATGTCCATGACGATTTATTTCACAATTGGATAAAGATGGCCGACTGGCAGCCATCTTGTTTTTTGAAAAATATATCGTATTTTGGACATGCTTTGTCAGTTTTCATTCAAATTTAGTACATAGATCATACATATTAGGATACATGTTTCCGACCGTCCGTGAGTTCCTGAGTCTGTCCATCTGTCCGTCCGTGCGTGTGTCCGTCTGTCCGTGTGTCTGTCCGTCCGTGTGTCTGTCTGTCCGTGCGTCTGTCTGTCCGTGCGTCAGTCTGTCCAGAGTCATATTTCAGAATCCTGTAGACCGATTTTGTTCATTCTTTGCATGTGCCTAGTACCTTATGTGGGACATATGCACACGCAGTGGTTTAGCGATTCGATTCAAAATGGCCGACTGGCAGCCATCTTTTTATTTGAAAATGTTGTATTTTGGACATGCTTTGTCATTCAAACTTGGTACATAGATTATACATGTTAGGATACATGTCCATGATGATTTATTTCGCAATTGGATCAAAGATGGTCGACTGGCAGGCATCTTGTTTTTTTTTATGCGGTATCTTGGACGTGCTCTGTCAGTTTTCATTCAAATTTGGCACATACATGTACTTTATACATGTTAGGATGCATGTCCATGAGAATTTGTTTCAAAATCTGGTCAAAGATGGCTGATTGACAGCCATCTGACTTTTTGGCCTTACTACTATATTTCCACAATTTATGTACCATTTTCATTCATATTTGGCACATGCATCATACATATCAGTGTGTTTCAGAATCAGATCAAAGATGGCGAATAACGGCTGTTTTTATTTTTGGCCATATTACTACTACATGAAACACGTGTTTTGATGTAAATTAACAATCTGTTGTATACACCACTTGGAACTCAAGTTTCAAAGACGCGCTCCGCTTTAATATGACTAGCACAAAGAGAACTTTCAAAAATTTAACGGGGACTGTGTCATTTTCAATGACTTGTTACATCAGACTCGGGATCGGTAGACCCAAGTTCAAATCCTATCTTAGGCAATTCCATTGGCGACTTTGGTTAAGGTCCACAGGTGCTTGTGTTTGACCCACTCTGGTTGACGCCAGGATAGTGCATCAAATGCTAATTGATAGAGAGATGGCCACACAGCCCTGTCATGTACCGGTAGTTCCAAACAAGAATATGGCTTCTGTGGCGAAATGTGTCAGCACTAGCATTGGCAATTTGCACATACAAAAAAAAAGTCAGGAGAGACAACAGTGACATTCAATGTCTGGAACTGTTGCCAAGCACAAAAACATTTAAAAAAACATTTCTCGTACATTGATGACACAATGTCATACCACCATGCATATTGACCTTTAACCTGAGTTATAGTAATTAACTGATTTTATTGCGCAACCTGAATCTTTGTATATGTGCATGTATATAACTTGAATAATTCTGATGACAGCTTTGCAACTAATTTTTGAATATTTATCAGATAATTTTCATGTTTTTGTTTTTGTTTTTATTTTTAATTCCAGGAGAGCGAAACGAAGTAAAGATTGTGATATCCTAAAGTCTTTCAATACGTGTTTGTTACATGCCATGTTAGAATGTCTTCCGTTCATACCGTGTGCTGGTTCTGCTGGTTCCTTACACTGGTTTTTTGTTCTACTCAACTTGGTGAAATCCATGGATCTGGAAAGCACTGGTAAAGCCTGTGCCTCTCTGTTAACATCTGTTGCCAGGCAGTTACATGAAAATATGTTACCACGACATTTACTGCTTAGAGCAAGGTCAGTTTGGTTTCACTTCTCATTCTTGTTTTTCACTACGGAGAGTAATGAAATAAGACTCTCCGGAAAAATCTCTTTGGAATGAGTCACTGATGATGTGTCACAGGGTCAATTTTTTTTTGATAAACATGTTTGTATTTTACTCTAACTAAAAAATAGCTTGGCTGAAAAAGTAAAACACAACCCATTCATTTTTTGTTTAAAGGAACCAGATGTTTAAAAAAACAAAACAAAAAGAATGGAGTCATGGACATATTGTTTCATAATTTTTTTCTAATGCTAGTAAATGGGTGATAGAATGTGTTCGATGTTAGAATTCCTGCTTGTGTTCTTCAAACTGTATTGATCAAGCTCAAGAATTACTAATCAATAAAATGCATTAATTATAGCCATGCAAGGTTTAAAGTTGAATATTTAGTTAGACAAACCAACACTGACATTGCTTTATTTGTTAAACCTCATTTGGCAAATAGAATACACAATAATTTCTTTAAATTTCAATAGGTTTGGGTTATATGGAACACCACTGGAGCCTGTGTTATTTGATACAGAGCCAGCATTACCTGTGAAACCGCTGAACACCACCACAACTAGCAGTAGTAGCAGTAGTAGTAGCAGTAGCGGTGGAAGTACTGGTCATCAGACTGGACCCCCTCTTACTACCTTACCATGTGATGTGGAAGTAGACTTCAAATCCTTGCTTGGAAATGGAAATGGAAACGGTAATGGCAATGGTAATGGCAAATCAACACAATCGACATCATCTAGTACAGTAGACGTTGGAGCTCAGTTATTGAAAGGCTTACTTGAAGTGGAACCGTTACATTTCACTTGTGTTGCTACGAGTGAAGGCACACATGTGGAGAAAATAGACACAGGTAAGATGACACTCTTCCTGTGTTAGTTTGCAATCCCGATTTTTCTCAGCCATTTTAAGCGCTGCATTCCTTGAAGGATATTCTTGACATTTCCACGATGTGTTGGACTTATATTTATTGTTCACGAAATAGGAAGCACCTCCTGAGAAGAACCCACATTTTTATTCCAATTTTCATGTGTCAAGTTTGACTTCAATCAAATTAACATATGATATGTTGTCTAGAATGAATTGTATGCAAGGTTGTGTAATGTGAAGTTGATAGTAGTGGTTTGTCAGTGTTGTATACACTATTATAGAGTCGTGCAGTGGGTTACATTTCAATTCACTTATCTCTTTAGGTGGAAATCCTACCATTGGTGGACTAGTGGCCACCCTTGCTCCTGGTACTTCTAGTTTAGGAGAAGGTACAATAACTACATCAGCGCCTGGAGCTGCAATGAGTGCTCTATCTGGTGCCATGGCGTCAGCTGAACAGCAGTTACAACTTCTACAACAGAAACAACAGCAGCTGATTAAATTGCAGCAACAGGTACACATTGACAGTTGCTTCTCTGCAATCATGCCTGGGTTTTCACTCACTGGAATTTCTTCTGCTTTTTGCTGGGGGTAATTGCTTGATAACTTGCTTTACCATCATAAACATCTAACAACATGCTTGCTCACACAACTCCTTACCTGTCCCTCTGTATCTCTTTACCAGAAACAGAAACTTGAAGACAAGTTGCAGATGAGTTCGACCTCTGGTAACATGCCTCCCTATCAGTATTCCAGTGAATTATTTCCTGCTACTCCTAAGAACACTCCTTTCTTCATGACACCGCCACTAACGCCGCCCAATGAGACCCTTGGCGTCAGTGGTATGCCAGGTATTAGTCTTGTTCCAATCGGTGAAGAAGGATTCTATTCTCTTGGCAAGACTTTTGCCAAGGTTGTATCTCAGGGAATGAAATCCAAGGTAAGGCATCATCGCTACAGCATTATGATTTTTAATGTCATTTAAATCTTGCCATCACCTGCAGTTTCTAAGGGGCATATATAAAAAGTGATGCACAGCACAGCTGTAATGAAATGATAATAAGTCATCTGTGTGACACATACCATGCATTTTACTAACGTTAGTCATGGCCATCTGATGCCACCTCATTGCAGTTGTCCTGAGGCCATCTCAACTTGCTCATAGGAGATACCTCTCTTTATACGTGAGAAAAAGAGCATCTTCCCTAAAACATCTGCATAATAAAGAGGTATGAATCTGAATTTGGATGTTGAATCAGCAGTGAGGAAAGTAAAGATTTCATTCCTAGGAAGTCAGAAACGCATTCAGGAATGCAATGATTTATTATCTCTGGCAAAATACTCTTTGCATGAAGATGAAGTCCTCTTGCAGAATAAAGAATATAGCCTTTCACAGTACCTGTCAATACAAGATACGAAGAACTACAAAATTTTATAATGAACTATTAGACATTGGCCCTATAGTCAAATAATTTGTTAGTGTCCTTGTATTGTTTGATTACATATGGAAGAAATTGATGTGTTCTGGCAGCAAAGGGCAATAGTTTTTGCATAGTACCGTAAAATTCCGAATTGAGGCCGCGGCTTTAATTAAAATTTATTTTTTCAATGGACGATTTCAGATGCGTGAAGTCTTGGTGCAGCTTTAATTAGAGCATTCACTTCGGTAACAGTGGGAAATTTTTTCAAAAAACAAAGGCCAGAAGGGATAATGATATGCTAATGAGATGCATGACACTCAATTGCAACTTTGTTGCGATTCTAAGCGCACTTTCGGATTTTTACACACAGACAAACTTGTACACAAATGAAATTTCACACTGTATAACATACTGCACAATAAATAATATCTACAAATAGATTTTTATGCATTTGCAGGTTACGGTACTGTATACAACAATCTCTTGAATAGACTAATTCGTTAGCATCGGTCACAACTGAGAGACAGCCGTCTGACACAGTCGATTGCATTCGACTACTGGCATGATCGACTTTTGGCAGAGTGACTGTACATTCCATGTTTAATATTAAGACATCGGGGAAATTAAAATAAAAAAATAAAAAAAGTCCATCAAAAAAAAATGTTCGCATGATAAAAAAAAATACTCAGTATATTATTTAATGTAATATATATTTATTTTCTTATTTTTTTTTTTTTTTTTGATAACGAAAATTATATTCTAAAAGAAGTAAAAACAAAAACGAATGCATTCTTAGTAGCAAATGATCACGGTATTACGGTCATGCTGCGTTTCACACAAGTGAATAACTTACTTGTTTTCGAAGTGTTACAATTGCTGATTATTACTCAGTAGTGATTACAATAACGTACAAAAAATAAATTCGTTGAATTGTTGTAAAAATTCAACTTAGTTTCACCGCAAGCGAATGATTTTGATCACATATAAACGCTCGATCCGATACGATATCCGCCATGCTTGTTCAAACATCTTTAGTGACTTGAAACTGTTTTTTGACCTGATATGTCAAGTCGCTAATTAACCAATCGAAATGCTGGATGGTGCCAACGTGATTAAATTACCATAGCTCATTTAAATATGTAGTTGAGAGACCTCATGGTAAACGAAACACGGAAGAGATTTGCCGTTGTTGTAGTACGATCGTTTGGCTTTGATTTTGATGGGAAAACGGCATGATTTTTTTTACATCAAGAAATTAGTTGTTATCAAAAGATAAGCTGAGCATTGAAGAAGAATTTAACACTTTTGATGTTAATAACAGCTCATTGTCGAAACGCAGTTTACCCATTCACGCTACTCATAATAAACCAG